AAAGAGGTTGTGATGATGATGATGACGACGATGACGATGAGGATGATGATGATGATGATGACGACGATGATGATGATGATGATGATGATGACGATGATGATGACGATGACGAAGACGACGACGATGATGATGATGGTGACGACGAAATGAAATTTCCAATTTAAAACCTTTTGTCACTCAATGAACTCCTACGTTAAACAGAAAAAAGGTTCCCCATTGTTGAGAAAACAGTGATCCAGCCGGTCATCCAACCAGTGATCCAACCAATAGTACCTCCCCCACCACCCCCCGTGGTTCAGCCCGTTGTTCAGCCCGTGATACAACCCCCTCCACCGCCAATTGTCCAGCCTGTGATTCCGCCTCGCCCCCCTCTTTTTTACCCCCCGGTTCGTCCAGGGCTCTTGCCTCCCAGACCACCTTTTCTGCCGCCGGGACCCGCCTACAGACCAGCTACAGCCTTCAATCCTTACGTATGTGACCTCTTCTGACCTCTAATTTTTTAAAATTTTGATATTGGATTGCTGTTCCTGATGGCTTTTTACTGCTTTTTCTATTATTAAATTATTTTATTATTTCTAATATATTATTAAAATATTAATAAAAATAATAATAATTAAAAATAATAATAATAAAAAAGCCAAAGACCTGCCTTTGCCAGTCCGGCTGTCAATGTAAGAGGGGCCCAACCCTTCGGGATTTACCGCCCCCGTCTGTAGTGTTGCCGGAAAAAGATTGTGATTGGTTAATGAGTTAGACGGTTGATTGGTTGGTTGGTTGGTTTATTGATTGATTGATTGACAAATGAATTTTTGTATTTGAAACTTAAACTTGAAGCCAAATCAATCAATTTCGATGCATTTCTATGTGATTAACTTGCTTAAGATGTAAAATAATAAAATAATTAACAATAATAATATAATAATAATAATAATGATATTAATAATGACGTTGATAACAATCAATTTATTCAATTTAAAAAAAAGAGAACAAAGTTGATAATGATGTGATAGCAATTGAAATATTAATTAGATTTATTAATTGAAATATTAATTAGATTTATTAATTAAATATTTATTAGATTTCACTCTGTAATGATTTCATCACTATTAGTTAAACCCATCTTTTATTCATCTATTTATTCGTTCTTTCATTCGTTTTTTCATTTGTTCATTTGTTCGTTCGTTCGTTCGTTTGTTCGCTCATTCGTTCGTTCGTACGTTCGTTCTTTCGTTCGTTCATTAATTCACTTCACTCATTCTTTGCTTAATTCCTCTGATACTTTAAATTTAATTTTAATTATGTGTTATATAAAATACGAATACTTATAATTACACACACACCACACTCAACACACAAACACACACACAAACACACACACAAATACACACAAACACACACTCACACACTTACACAGTTACACACGTATCAACTGTTTAAATGTTCTAACATGTTTTTTCAAATTTCTTGCTAACAACAACGATATTAATAATAATTAATGTAATAATAATAATAATAATAC